CATGACATTATTTTTTAAATCCAGACCTCTCAAACACTGTCCTTTTCATTAAAGGACTAAGACAGAAACGGACTAATATTACGACTCTTTTTTGTTTAAATAAATTTTAACTTATTCAGAGACATATTCGTATTATGATGAAAAATTCAAGAGACAGACAAAATCAACCCCCTGGCAAAAATTCAGCCAACTCTTCTGATATAAATTCATCACAGTGACACACACATCTTCATAACTCAGTGAGGAGAAATTGTCTCAAATATACATGGACATTCAAGAGACTGAAAATCAACCAACACTAAAGACACTTTTTTTTTCCTCTATGAATCTGTCAGTTCAAATAGTTCTGTCTAATTTAGTTCAATTTGGTTAAATCTGACAAGCTTGGAAATCATTCTTTATTGGAGAAATCTAAGACAGTTTGTCTCGCCAAAATTTTCTATTGGCTCGACAGTCATTCCTTGGTTTATTTAAAGGATGAGTTTGCTGTGGAGGAAACCATTCTCTTTGACTTTAAACAATTTATTTCATTCACTTGGGTTTTCCTGTAGACTCTAACTAATTATTCCAAAAATTTCTTCTTTCCCATATCCTTGGTGGAAAAACTGAAGATATGCAATTTATCAGTTGCTAATGTCATTTAAGGAGCTCTGATAGCGTAGTGCCTAAGGCATTTGACTGTTAACCAGAAGGCTGGCAGTTCAAACCCACCAGCCACTCCTCGGAAGGAAGGTTGGGAAATCTACTTTCATAGTGATACTGCATCGGAAACCCAAGGAGGGTTCGCTATGGGTCAGATCTGACTCCAAGGCAGTGGTTGTGTTTTTTGTGGTTTTTTTTAGTGGCATTTAAGTAATGGTAAATAATAAACTGATGATAACATTCTGCAATAAACAAAATGCATCCCAAGGCAAAATTTAGGTCACAATAGTAATTCTTTCAGTAAAACCAATAGTAATTCAACACACCAGTGTTCACTGTAGTACTATTCATAGGAGCCAAAAGCTGGGAATAGCTTAAACGTACAACACATATGAAAGAAAAAACAAAATGTGGCATATCTATACAATGGAATATTACTGTGCCATAAAGAAATGAAGTCCTGATATATGCCACAACCTTGAAAACATTACACTCAGTAAAGTAAGACAATCACAAAAGGACAACTATTGTATGATTTCAGTTATATGAAAGATCTAGAATAGGCAAGTGTAGAGAGACCAGTTTATTAGTGGTTACCGGGGTGGGGTGGTAAGCAGGGAAAAGGGGACTTGAATGCTTAGGGAACACTGAACTTCTGTTGAAGGTGATGGGAAAATGCAGAAACTGATAATGGTAATGACTGAACAACATAATAAGCATAACTAATGACACGGAATTGTACATGTGAATAATGTTGAAATGATAATTTGTTACATATATATTTATCACAGTAATAAAAAAAGCAATAGTAATTCTGCTAGTAAAAAATGAGATGATAATGACTTTATCTTCTGATTGTTCAATACAGAAATAGCCTAATCAAATTACTATGTGTGCAAAAGCTTAGATATCTCAAATAACAAAAGAAACTAGTTTTAATCCAGTGAAATTTCTTTTTTACCTAAAATTGAATTCTGAACAAAACAATGTTTTACAGATATTGTTTTCCTCAATTTCTCCTGTCAAATCCTTAGGCCTGTAAGAATCCCACCATAATTCTACTCTAAATTCTTTACCATTTTATACACATTGTTTGGGAGCTCTGGTGACCTAGTGCCTAAGGTTTATACCCTATCTAAGGCACCTGACTGCTAACCAGAAGGCTGGCGGTTCAAACCCACCAACCACTCCTCAGAAGGAAGACTGGGCAATCTACTTCTGTAGTGATACTGCCTCGGAAACCCAAGGAGGGGTCACTATGACTCAGATTGATGGTAGTGAGTTTGGTTTGATATACATTGTTTAAGTGATTATCCACTTATCACGTTCTGCTTTGAATAAGAAGTATTTTTGTCTCATGTACATAAATACATAGTTTCCTCTCTAAAACTTCAAGACAGTTAATATAAGATCCTTATCTATTTGCTTTTCTTTCAGTACTTATCACAGTGCTTTATACATGGCTGAGCCCTCTGATGGCTCACTGGTTAAGTACTCGACTGTTAACTAAAAGGGTCAGGGTTTCAAACCTAAAAGCCACTCCTTGGGAGAAAGAAGTGACAGTCTGCTTCCATAAAGATATCCAGCATTGGGAACCCTATGGGCCAGTTATTGCTCTGTCCCATAAGGTCATTGTGAATTAGAGTCAATTAGATGGCAATAGGTTTATACATGGTACTCAATAAATATTAATTGAATGAATGTGTGCAAGAAGTTTTGGTTTACATTTAATTTATGTCCATTTGTACCACCAATGTGCATGTAGAGGTTGTATATAGTCATCATTTTTTTGAAACTTACCATACTAATTATTATGTGACATCTGTCTAATAATATATATAGGAGAGAGGGTAATAGGAGATTCTTAGACAAATAGGATACTGAAAAGATGGGCTAAAGAAGAGAAGTAAAAGATACTTTTCTCTTTCAGGCTCCTCTTAGACTGGACGATCTACTTCCTTAGAGATACTGCCTTGGAAACTCAAGGAGAGGTTCTCTATAAGTCAGAATTGACTCAACGGCAGTGAGTTTGGTTAGTTTACGTTTCCCCTTCAATGAATTACAATATTATGCCTAAATAATGGAGAATAAAATATGAGATGCATAACCATCCCAGGATTCTAACTTACATGTAAATTTATAGATGTATTAAGCAAATGATATCATTATTTAAAACGTATATCCTTAAATGGGACAGGTTATGTTACCTTAGAGTTAGAAAGGTTACATAAAGGAGATTAAGATTAGTCTTTCAAACTTGAAAAACTCCAGTTGCACAATACCATATTCTAGGTTCCTAGAAAACAGAGCTTAAGACAAAGATTAAACATTAAGGCCCTATTTGAGGTAAGCTCTGGTAGCATAGTGCCTAAGGCATTTGACTGTTAACCAGAAGGCTGGTAGTTCAAACCCACCCATCACTCCTCAGAAGGAAGGTTGGGCAATGTACTTCTGTAGTGATACTGCCTCAGAAACCCAAGGAGGGGTTGCTTTGAGTTGGATCTGACTCAACGGCAGTGAGATGGGTTTTTTTTTTCCTTAAGGTGAAGGTGAGGTGTAATTACAGATAAACAAGCATGAAGGAATAGGAAAGAGAGAAAGGAAAAAAGCAAACACAAGGGGCAAGTTGCTGCACTGGCTTTACATAAAATACAGCTGGCTGTTTAGTCCCTCAGGTTGTCTCCGTAAGTGCTGATTTCATGGGCATTCCACCTCTGCAGTTAAACAGGGCCAGTACCAATGAGTGGTAAATAATACAAATTTGATTTCAAGGTGTTGCACTTCCAGTTACTAGGGTTATAGCTTTGCATTTATAATCTGCTGAGAAGCTATCATTTTGCTCATACCATACCCCTACTTGAAAATAGAGCATGCCTCATAAGGTTTTTCTGAAGAGTAAATGAGTTAATATATGAAGATACTCAGAATAGTGCCTAGTAAAAAATAGCTCCTATGGAGCTTCTGGTGGGTTAGAAGCACCAACATTTTGGTTAGCAGCCTAAGGACTGTGTTACCAAACCTCCTTTCCTATAATGATTATAGCCTTGGAAGCCCTATGGAGCAGTTCTACTCTGTTATACAGGGTAGCTATGAGTTGGAATAGACTTGAGGGTACAACACAAGAACATAGCAGAAGGGGGGTGAGAAGGAATAGATTT